TATGTGGGCGACCAGTGCGAGCACTGTCTGAATCTGACCTGTGAGAATGGTGGCATTTGCCGTGAGACGCTGACCGGAGCACCACAATGCGAGTGTCCCGATGGCTATACGGGCAAACGCTGCGAGTTCAATGAGTGCGCCGATTTCTGCAAGAACGGAGGCACCTGCAGAATTGGCGCCAAGGGACAACGCCAGTGCAAGTGTCCCAGTGGCTACTATGGTGAACATTGTGAGGCGAACTCTTGTCGCGACTTTTGCCAGAATGGCGGCACCTGTACGGACCGTGGCCACAAGCTGACCTGCACCTGCCCCACACGTTACATTGGCGATCGCTGTGAATCCGATCTGTGCAAGACCTCCATACCGCCACGCTTTTGTGATGTCTCTCTGCTGCCATCGCGCAATCCCTGTACTGGCATCATTTGTGAGAACTCTGGCACCTGTCATGTCATCAAGGGCATCGCCATGTGCAACTGCACAGATCAGTGGAACGGTGAGTTCTGCACGATGCCCGTGGGCGAGGATAATCCCTGTGTCCGCTATTGTGCCAATGGGGGTGTCTGCCACCTCAATGAGTACACGCTGCCCCACTGCACCTGTGTTGGTGAGTGGCAGGGCGATTTCTGTGAACTGCCGCCGCATTGTGTCGGCGAGTGCAGCGTCTGTCGCACAGGCAGCTCCATCAATGAGTGCTTGTGTGACAACAAGCGGGTTGTGCCCTGCCTGGCTGAAAGCGCTGTGGCTTTGAGTGGAGAACAGGAGCGTAAAGAGTCCGCCAGTTGGGTCTCTGTGCTGGCGGTTATCTTAGCAGTGACCACATCATTGCTGGTGCTGTTCGGCGGCGTCGTTTATTTCCTCAAGTAAGTCAACACTTGAATCGGACAAACTGTTTCCAGTCACTTATCTTCCATCTGCTTGCAGAAAACACCGCATTGCGCAGCCATTTTCACATGCTCGCCTCACCGACAATGTGGAGATCATGCTAACTAATCCAATGTATCGCGGCGATGCCGACGAAACGCCGCCCTTCGCTCACGAAGATGATAAGGTAATGTTAGCAGCTTCCATTGGGAAAACAGAAATAATTTAATTCCCATCTATTTGCAGGGAAACTTTGCTAATCCCGTGTACGAATCAATGTACGCTGATGCCATAGCGGAACCAGCCATTGCAGAAATATCGCATAGCACGGCGCCAGATGAGAGGAAGGGTCTGTTGCAGCACACGCACGACGAGACGCACACACCGGATATACTCTGATGATTGAGCCATTTCAGTCATGATCGGGAGCTGTGCTAAGCACAGCCACAGATTGTTGTACACTTAAAACACATACTTTAGCACACATTTAAATCCAAATGCAAACCGACTTGAATACGAACAATGGACTGATAGCGTAGCCATATTACGAATTTTGTAAACATTTTGTTTCCTTTTTTTGTGTGGGGTGGGGGGACGGGAGGGGAGTGCGGCCCTACCAAAGAGCGCTAAACCTAATATGCAACTGTGGCGTCTCCTTGCTCCTTGTCTAATGTCCTTAAGAATGATGTCCTTATACTATAACTTATAACATTTCTTGTCATTCTTTTTGTTTAAGCGCCTTTTCTAATTGTCGCAAAGTTTACAACAAATTTGCCTTCCCTACATATTGATTTAATTTTAAAAAACACGTATTTGTGCATTTGTAAATTTTGTAGTTCGTAGACTTAGTTAAAGTTCACGTGCAGCTAAAAGAAACTCAATTTTTGTAAATATTTTTTTTAAATATAATGCCCAATGGCAGCCTAGTTAACATTTAAAACAAGCACTAAACGTTTTGCCAATTAGTGAAAAATATTGATATTTAAACGAATACAAATTAGCAATCAATTGTAAACGCAAGCTAACGTTTTGAAACTGAACAGAAACATGTAAAATGCATTTAAATTTATTTATTATATAATTGAGCACAAGCAATTTTAACGCACAAAACAACCAAACCGAAAACAAGAACCAGAACAGACACACGACAGAAATTATAACGAACAAATAGCATAGTCTAAATAGTTTAAGGAACATTTAAAATATATATATATATATATATATCTCTTCAGATATACATAACTATATTATATTACATTATTTAGTTTGTCACTTTTTAATGCAATCGAACGAAAACGATATCCTGTATAAAACATAATGCTCAGTCAAAAGCCAAATTTTAACATATACAATGTAAAAATTTAATAACTTTAGCGTATACACAATAAATGATGTATGTGAAGCCAAGTGCAAAACGTTCATAAAACGTTAGACGTGCACAAAATACACATTCGAAAGCAATTGTAAAAATTAATAAAAATGAATTTCAACAATTTTATTGTCGGGAAAAGTCTAAAGAATGCTTATATATATGCATTCTGCGACTACGTATAAACTGAAGAAAAGCTCGCGTTTGATGGTGATTTTTCTGCACGTTGCGGTTTAATAAAAATCTGAGCCACATTAAAACTGCTTTCTAATAATATGTGCATTGTTCTACATATATACGTTCATTATAAAGAAATCAAATCAAGAGACTTATAACTTAGATGATTTGCTGAAAACTCGAAAATATAAAATTCTCTAAGCTCAGAAGAGGTTACTTGAAGTCCCAAAAAATCTCGAAAATGTTGATCTTCCACAATTTGAGAAGTAGACTCAACTAATCTCTCAGGAAGAATATGACCACAGAGAATACATATAATATAATATGTATATACCCTTTGGTCCGATCTAAAATTTTTGGTCGCAACCTATAGGAAAACTGCTAAAAACCTTTTGCTTCTTCATCTTTAAAGCTAGATTTCCGATTAGGCTAAGGATTAGGTTAATATATTGCCGAAAACTTCATTACCTGAAGTAACTCGTGGTTATAGTCGTATAGTGCAAATTACCAAATTATCAAGAAGACTTTATCGACTGATTAAAGCGGAGAACGGAGTATTGTACTGTCGCTTGCCCGTTTTTGTCTTATTTAAAGGCATTTCTTCGGTTGATTAAAATATTGATCAAATATGTATTCAACTTTTCGCCTTATAAACAAACCATTCCAGCTTAAACTTATTTTAATTTTAGTTGTAAGTTATTATTTTTATTTTAGTTGTAAGTTATTATTTTTATTTTAGTTGCTTATCATAAGATTCTGTATACAAAAAAAAATTCAGTTTTCCTCTTTCGTAGCAAACGTTGCCATATGGCATCCGTTAGAAAAATCTCAGCACGAAGCGGAAGTAACTTTCAATTTTCCTCGCTCAACCTTTTTTGTTATTTTTTTTTTGTATGACCCAGGCGAGGTGCGTGAAAGGGGAAATGAGCCTGGAAAATCGACAGTAATTTGTTTCCTCTTATGAACCGCATGCTTACGGATGATATTAAAATTTGTATCCACTCAAAATGCAGTTTGTTAATTTCCCCGTTTTCTATATTTCAAGTGTGCGACGCGTGAGCACTTCCGCTTTAAATTTGTTAGGCATTTACCTGAAGGACTCTATTGACCCAATGGAGCCTTGTCGCTGGGAAAATGTTCTTCACGATCTCTGAGCTGTGATTTCTTGCATGCAGCTCTTACGCAAAGCTGAAATCTCGCTGCTATCTCACGCATATTTACTGTGGGTTATTGATATGCTCCTGTATGCATTTCAGATGCACTTGTTGGCCACAGGACCCGAACACGGTTATCAGGGCCCATTCACAGCCATTGGGTCGTGTGAAAAACGCAAGCGATTTGAATTTGCTCGGAACAGGTAGTCGGTAGAATCCATTTCATCCTTTGCTCTGGCAAAAAGGATCACCTTGGGTGTATGTTAAGTGTCGGTCGGTACGTGTGTGTGTGTGTGTGTGTGTTTGTGTGTGTGGGAGAATTCCTGTTAAACACTGCATGACTTTGTTGTTTGTTTGTTTGCAAGGATATCTCTATTATAATACAAACGAGATTTTTGGGTTTAAACTGAATTTAACTGTGGGAAAAATGGTTTGAAACCATGTTTGGCAAGTTAATTACAATAAAATGGGCTAAATAATAATGCAAAGGATGTGCGAATTAGAAACTAGTTTTTATCTCTAGAGAACTTGAGTATCCTGTGCTGCCTCGTTGCGCTTATATTGCGCAATTGAAACCAGTAATTCCGCACTATAGAATCATCTATTTTCTCTTCAGTTAACCAGTTTTCAGAAACTGCGCATTTTTCCAGCTGGGCCCACTTGGAGGCCCAGAATTTATGCAACAATCAAGCCATTAATTATGCCAAACGAATTTCAATGCCAGCATAAAAAGATTCCCATTCCCACAAGACGTAAGGAAAATGAAATCAAAAGTAAAAACAAAAGTGATAAGCCGTAACGAAGTGCACAGGAATTCCATGTAGACACGCCGACCACAGCAGAGAGAAAGATAAAGAACGATCGCGCGAGAGAGAGAGAGGGAGAGAGCGAGAGAGAGAGAGAGTGTGTGGCCCAGCATCAAATCACAGCAAACACAAATAAAGAAAAAGGATCAATAGAACAAGTGCAATGCAAACAGGCGCAAAGTAAACAGCGAAGCGAGCACAGATAAAAGATCTTGTAAATAAGTGTGTGTGTGTGTGTGTGTGTGTGTGTGTGTGTGTGTGTGTGTGTGTGTGTGTGTGTGGGAACACGGCGAACAAGTGCAACGGTGTTTGGAGACTGCAAAAGGATAATAGCGCTAAAAGGAAATGAAAATTATGATAATTTTGTTCTTTCTCACAGCAGATCGGATAACAGCAGCCACAGCCGTCGTGTCGCTATGATTGAGTGTGGGAAGTTCGAAGGCGATCGCGGAGCCGAGAGCCGAGCGCCGAGAGCCGAGGGCGTCGCCAAGCTGGATGTGTCGCTCGACAGCCACACGCAAGGCAGCCGCAGGACATGGGGTCGCTGTGCGGCAGCTACTACGGAAGTAATTTGAATTGGAAAAGAAAAAAACAGCATTCTCCTTGAGAGCGAAAGGATGTTAATCAATTTTATTGAACCGCAACTCATGAATGCACTTTTACTTTGATTTCTCGCTGTGCTGCGTATAGCCAAAGAGCTCCTTGAGCAGGTTATAGATAATCATTTGTCGCGTCACTTCCGCCTCATATTTCATATAGTCCTTCAGGCGCTGCTGCTTGTACAGCTGATCGAGCAGCTCGTATAGCTCCATCTCCAGAGCGCGCAAAGAGATCTCCAGCTCTGGTGTGTGGGTGCCCGACAGCAGGGCTTGCATATAGACATGGGATATCTTCTCGAGGGCCGCATCCAGTGAGTTGAGCATATTATCCTCTGGACTGTGTGCCAGATGAGCGGCGGGTCCTGCGAGCTTTGGTGAGGCGCGATACTCAGCATTAGCCGCGATCAGCGGCAAAAATGCCAGGCAAATCAGCCAGAGCTGACTTGAAACTAATTTGACTTGCATGGCGAGACTTTTAGCTATAAATCTGTAAGTTGTCTAAAACTTTATCGAAGATCGAGGCACGCCTATTCAGCCCGTTCAGCTGGGGATCACTGCGTGCTCTGTTGCAATAACTTTTGTGCGAACTGGGAAATTGTGTCGTCAATATTAGAGCACGCCGACTCTTTATATACTGGAAAGATCTGGCACAGCCCATCGGGGTTATCAATTCAGTGAATCGTTGCAAAAATGACCGACTATATACTCGAACAAGGTTACTTCCGCCAAATGGTTTCTATTATCAGCGGAAATTTGTGCAAGTGTAAGCTTCCGTTCTGGCATGGATCAAGGTTGGGATCACATTCAAAATATGTTGGTTTCGATTTAATTCCATGTGGCATTCATTTTAGTCCATTCATGGGCTTGCATATTATATCATTAGGACTCAAATGTGTACAGAAATTAATATAAAAGCGAAAAAGGGGGGCTTACTTTCTGATTTCTGATTATCTTCATTTAAAAATTATATATGAAGAAGAATTAAAATCGTTTTAATTTAAATTCTAATTCTAACTAAATCAGTTACAATATTCAATGCCATATTCTTCTCTTTTCACGAATACTTTAAACCCAAAAATTATTGCAACTAAAAAAATTGAAATACCCATTTTTTTTTTTTGCTTTTTTTTAAGCATTTTTGTTTATTTTATTTGTTTCACTCATTGCTCAGTGGAAATTCAGCTGGAACAATTCCATAAAGTATACTAAAATAAAATATCAATAGCCTCTAAAAATCGAAGCTGGAAACATGAAAAACTTGACGCTAAGATCTACATAACTTAGTTAAAAATTCTTGCAGTTAAAATTGAAATAATGTAATAAAGAACATTTAATATGAATCAAGAATACGGCATGTTGCTAAAATACATAATAATAATAGTAATAATAATAATAGATAAATGCTTAAACAAATTAATACAAATTATACAAAAATTACACAAAATATACACGCTTTAAAAAATCACAGCTGAACTTAAAATTGAAGAAAGCGAAACATGAATAATGGAAAAACTTAATGGAAATGTGATTAAAATTGCAATGAAAATAAATTAACAGATTGCTTAACTTGAGAGAGCGAGAGAGAGTGAGGGGGGCGGAGGGGGGAGGGGTCATAAACTTAACATAAAACATAGACAATATTTGAGAGGATGTTGCTGCTGCTGCTGCGTCACCAGGGCCGCCATGCGGAGCTGGACTTCTCGATGGCGGCGGCCAGGAATTTCTTAGACGATGGTTCGTCCGATAACGAACAATCGCTAGAATCGGCCTGCTCGTGCTCCTGCTCCTGCTCCAGTTCTGCCTCGCGCATACGCTTCGCAGCGCCACTCTCCTGGCCGCTGGTGGAGCTCACCTGCTGCTGTTGCAAGTGCGAGCGCGACGTGTTGCAGGCAGAGCCGCTGGTGTCATGGCTGCCGCCGCTCAGATTCAAGGAGCCGCTGCTGTTGAAGGAGGTCTCCGCGCTGGTGGGCGGCGGCGTGGAGAAGACGCCAGCGAAGCTGTGCTGCTTGGCCAGCAGCAGTTCCGCTTGTGCCGCACTCGCTGGCGAGGCAGCACGCGACTCTTCGCCATGGCTCTGGCTGGAGATGGAAGAGATGGGGCTCAGAGGCGGACTGCTGGTTGTGTTCTTGGTGGCAACTGCGGTTGCTGCTCCGCCTGCTCCTGGCGCCTGCAGTTGCGTCTGGGCGGGCGCTGTCGGCTTGTTGAATGCGCTCAGCCTGAAGCTTTGGGCGTAATCACTCAGATGCGTGGGATTGGCAATGCTGGCTAGTGCTGCACTGGCTGCATTCACTGCTGCTCCTGGCCAGGCAAAGGGTACCGGCGCGGGAGCCGCTGTCGTTGTTGTATTTGGCATGATTAAAGCAAACTCGCCCGAGGGCAAGCGGGAGGGTATCAGCTGAAGACCGCCCATCTGTATGGCTGGAGCTGCTGCTGTGACGCCCTCGCGGCTGCTGTTGCTGCTGCTGTTGTTGTTCAGATCCTGGGGCAGTGGTGGGAAGAGGGGCGCAGCGGCGCCCGGGAAAATGGCCGGCAGCTGACCGCGGTAGCCATTGTTGAAATTTGACATCGATCCAATCTGTTCCAGGCTGTTGGCGCAGTTGTTGAGATGGGCGCTGAGACGCTGACGTACGCCCGGCTCAATGCCATCCATTTGGCTGACATAGCGATTCACCTCCTCGGCGCACTCAACAAAGCCCGTCTTGAACTTGTGCACCACGCCGGGATCGGTCTGGATGGCCATGTTTAGCTGCTGGCGCTGCACCGACTGCAAATGCTTCACCGTCATCTCGAGTATGTCGGCCTTTTCCAGTTTGGTATGTCGCGCCGGCTAAAAACGGTAGAAGAACAAACAGATAATGATGAGCTCCATGTCGTTCGGTGTTGTTGTTGGGTGTCGTTTTGGCTACACTTGGGGCTACTCAAAAGTGGATAACAACTAAAGCAGAAGCCGCCCGGCTAATTGTTTTCGTGCATTGACCAGGACCAGCGACCAGGCCAGACCAGGCCAGACCAGAGCCAGCCAGAGACCCTCAGACACAAGGCCCTATAACAAGTTCAATGCATGGGAAACAAGTGAAACACGTAAGCCAGCAGCTGAACGGCAGCAGCACGACTTCAAAATACCCTACAAGCGGCATTATAGTGAGCGAATTTGTCAAAAATGGCCCAAAAGCTCAAGTTGTAAATATAACTCATTTCTTTCTTTAAGCTTATGTGTTTATCTGCAGCTGCTTCTGCGCACCCACCCACTGTCCGTGCTGAAACTATATACCCTCTGGGCTGGCATTTCAGCTATAGGGCACAAGAAAAGTGAATGATGCAGACGCTTGAGCACGTTTCTTGCCTCATATGTCCAACTATTTGTAATCTACCTCTGTTTCTGTTCTACAGTCCACTCCAGCGAATATCACACGCCCCAAAGCCGCGCGGCCACTAAGCTCTGCGCGAGGCGCTGACAGAGCAAGCGAGCGGGAGAGAGAGACAGGTAGACGTGAAGAGAGTGGCCACAATCTGTTTGGCACTTCTTCTGCGTACGTTCGTTTCTGCTGCCGCTGCCGCTGGCTGCATATTTTGCAAAAGTTTCCCACGCAGGTCGCCCGCTTCGCTGCCCTGCCCTTCCCTGCCCTGCCTCACCCCCGCTCTGCCGTGCTCCGTCTTCTTGTCATGTCTGCATCTTTTGTTTACTTTTGCTTTTTCTTCAATGTCTTTCTTATTTGATTTTTGGTCGTTGCCTGCAGAATTCTGCTACACTGGCGTCGGCGTCGGCGTCTTCGCTTCGCTTCTATCTCATATTTTTTATGTGATTCTTCGTTTTTTTTTTTTATGTGTGTGTTTCTCACAGCAGGATTTGCTGGTGGCTCCTGTGGAAACAGGTTTACAGTCTCGCTGTCTGAGATTTCTGCGTAATTTCTCGACTTGTTAACACTTTTGGTCTGACTGACTCGCCATATCGTCATCGTCGGCGCTCTCTTGTAATGATCATCAATAAAATTTAATACTCAATTAAACTGTTGGCTCTTTTTTTGCATTTTGTCTGTGCGTCTGTGCCTCTGTCTGTTGTAGGAGTCTTGTATCCTTTTGTACTTTTGCCGACGCCCAGACACACTTGAAATTTCTGAGTTTCAGAAATTTATGTGTTTTTTGACACCATTTATAAGGAAAGTGAACAAATCTTGGACATAGTTTCTAAATCAGTGGGTTCCTCTCTGCTTCTTTCTTACTCCACTTAAGGATACTTACGTCTTTCTTCATTGCCTCCAGGATCAGCGATTTGAGCTCGTTCAAGCAGTGATTGATACGAGCGCGACGCCGTTTTTCCATAATGGGTTTGTTTGTCTGTAAAAAAGAAATTGATAACAAAAAGTAAATAATTTGTACTTATAAAACAAATATGAGGAACCTTATCATACGAATGTGAAATAAATTAGAAATGATTTAAGCGTTTCCTTGGAAAAATTGGTGATGAACCAAATTAAAGCATTTATGTTTTATGATATCGTGTATATTTACATTTTTCGAAAAAAAAAACAAACGGAAATCCCACTAGCTTTAAAAATTTTAATATCACATGAATTCAATGACATTTATGTATCTACAACTTAGACGAATTCCAATTTAAACTTTTCAGAAACAAGATAATTTTTGAAAAGTTCCTCATAATAAATAAATAACACATTTTTGAAATGTTTCTCAAAATTCAATAAACGTCTTTTGCCGCCCATTTGAACTAGGGAACCAGGAACTTTGTTCCTGATTTTACACAATTTCGATGTTCCAATTTATCTGACTAATATTTGGCTTCTGTTCTATCAGTATTCATCCTATGAAGTCGAATAAAACTCACCTTTCTCAATTCCGCCTTGGACAGACCACTTGGATTGGCCAGACGCCCATTGCTGCCAAAGCTGTCGCTATAGCCATTGGAGCAGTCGAAATCATCGTCCGAGTTAAGATCGTGTTTGTAATCCATTTTTGTTGAATTGCTTAGTTGATAATCCAAAAGTATAGTATGATGAGGGAGAGTGTTCTTAATCCAATCAAATGACAAGTTCTTTTTTAAGCACAACACAAAATGTTTCACAACACAAAAACTTTGGTTGAAGTACGAATAAAAGTGTCAACAAATTATTGCACGTACTTTATTGAAATGTCCGAACAGATAAAACTTAACAAAATGTTACGCGCTTCGATTTAGTTCATTTGAAACGTTTGTGAGTCTTATGTAGGTTTTACTGTAGCTGCGTTTCAGGACGAGCGGCAGACAACCGCGCACACGGAACGCCAAAAGGATACTGATCCTCGTCTGAGCTAGCGCGTTGACTAAAAACGATACGCGACGAGGGCAAAACGAGTCCGAGGCGACTCGTTTACCTGAGCAGCGACGGCGACGGCGACTGCGACGACGGCGCAGGCGCAGGTAGCCATGAGAGCCGACCGACCATTCGCTCTGCAGCGCATTTGGGGTGGTTCTGCAAACGCGCAGGCGAGAAATTCCAGCGCAGGCAACTAAATGCTCAAAATGCAAACCACTCAAACGCTGACTGAGTTTGAGCTAGGTTGTGTGAGTGAGTTGGGTTGTTTGGTACTCAGCAGAGTTGTCGAACATTTGCAATTTGCGAGCTACATAAACAATCCGAATACGCCCAAACATGCATTTGGAAATTTAGCAAACAAAATGAGATTAAATTTTACTAAAAATCATACTTATCTTAACAATTTTTGAAATTCTAGCAGAAATTGGTCGGCTTCATAATAATATTTATAATATAAAATAATTATTTCATATTAAAACTTAAATTAATAGCCCAATTTTTTACTAAAAATAATTTTTATAACCGAATGTAACTCAACCATTTTTAATGTTATGCAGATTAAAGCAGATTTAAGCTATATACATAGCTTTCAAAGCTCAAAGCTTTCAGTTATTATTTTATATAGATTTATCAAGTTGGGCATTTTGCAATTTGAAGTTTTTGTGAACCTTAACATATTTTTTTAAAATTAGTATTTAACTCAATTTTTTTAATCCTCCAATCGATTTTAAACTCAATTTTATAAAAACCTACTTTAATATTGTTAAATAATTTTAAGTTATTCGTTGAATACTTTCTTGAATATTGTTCTGTGAATGTAGAGTTTCTTTTAGTTCACATTTTTCAGCTGTATCCAAGCAATCGGTCTTCGTTTCTGCTGCGTCCAGGTACTCATGCGAATTAATTTTCGCGAGCCACCCCTCAATCAATGTTGATCATTGGGCGCAATTCATTAAAAATTCCTTCAGAATGCTCGAAGTTGTCTTGCGCCTAGACTGTCGGGCAGGCTGGCAGGCAGCTGTCTTGGCAGACTTTGAGCAACCCCCCTTAAGAAATTTTCCTATCTAGGGGGTTGCGATATTCAGCCTGGTCACGGGTCAATCATTAGTTGAAGCTTACCTGACTTGTCAGTTTGCGCAGGGATTGCTCTGTGCAACACCCCAAAATCGTAGGGCTCTCGTAGAAATTTATTGCTTTACAATGTTGGCAGGATTTAGATGCACGACAATGCAAAATTGTCAATAACCCGGTTTTGGGCCATGCGCCAGCTGACAGCTGACAGTCTAGCGGCCGCTCGGTTAGCCAGATTTAATGGCACCAGTCATAAAAATATTGCGCCGCCTGGCAACCCTGGTTGTGCAAGCCAAGCAACCCGATTGCACTCAGCTGGCGCGCTAGTCAATTTTTGAGTGTAAATCCCTTTGCCCGGCCCGAGTCGTAAAAGGGGCGACAGTTTTGTAAATTGAATAAGCACCGCATTTGACTATGATCGCTAGGTATATGCAAATGTATACATTTATTGTCTCTGTGGTTAACCCCATGTTGCAAATGCTGATCAAGAGTGATCGACTAATCAGGTCTCCTAAATGATATGTAGCGTTCTCCTTAATAAGCTGCATTTAGCTGCAAATTTGGCAAACTTTTTCCCACGAGCAAACTCAATAAAAATCATGAGCTGGCAAAAAGCAAAAGAAACAGCCGAACCGCAGACTCATCACACATATGGGGGGTTGTAACAGTCGGACTCGCACTTGTGAATGTGGCTCATTTGGTCTTGTCTGGGCCAAACGTGCCGATCGCACCGGTCACACACTCGAGAGTCGCAAGACGCCAATCTTGAGAAAATGAGAAACCGAGAATGAAATTCTATAACGAAACGCGCTGCATACAAAATCAAAGTTCAATATCAGCCCCAGTTCCAATCCAGATCCCAGTGCCAGCAGTGGCAGAGTTGCTTTGGCTTCCTTTTTTCATACGGTTTTTGGGTTCGATCTGGGGATCAAGGTAAATGCCGTTTAGTGTGGCACGATCGCTGATCGGTAGCCGTCTGTGCTGTCTGTGCTGGGGCTTCCTTGTGCCTTATTCTTAGTTGCGTTTTGGTTTTCGTATTTTCTTTTTTTTGTATGGCCCAACGCACGATTTACACATTAAAACACTTTAATTTTTATTGCATCGAGCGATTGCTTCCCTTTTCTTACTCTCCTTAATCAATCCAGCAGCAAGGTAGCATATGTGAGACCTTTCGCAACCTCAAATTAGTGCCTGCGGCTAAGTGCCGGGGTATATATTTTTAGCTGCTGCTTTTTTCTGTGGGAACTGCAGTTATTATAGGGTGTGCTACACCCACACCCACACCCACACTCACACCCAAAACTCCAAACACTCCGCACACCCCCAAAAACACGCATATAATGAGCATGAAAAATATGAAACAGTAGCAAATGTGTGAGATGCAGGGGATTCGGTCCTACAACTGGGATGCTTAGATGGAAAGATATATGTTGATTTAAATGAATTTTTTGTTGATTTTTATGGCGCCTTGTTCGGTTGACTGTGGCGGGGGGTGGGGTGGAAATTTGAGTGAAGTGTGCGTCGGGTGGCATTAGAAGTCGTGACAGGCGCGGAGTTCTAAAGGGAAACTCTTATATTATTTTTATGAATTTGATAAATGGCCAGCGCTAGTTGGGCTAATAACTGGAAACTTTTGTGACAGATGTGGGCGGGATGAAATAAAAAGACGCTGCGGCAATACCTGGGAACCATTTACGAATCGATTTAGAATAAGTTCTCATGGGAGCAAAAATATCGCAAGATTGAAGGCAGGAAATTTCATTTATGACAAAAAATTAACATTTTATTTATGTATTCCCTAAATATTATTAAGGCGCAAAAAGAGAAAATAAATTTATGTATTTATTAAAGAGCATTAAGGTACAAATTGAGAAGGTAGACTTTCAATTTATTAAGTCGTAGTTTAACAATATTTTATTATTATTTTTATGTTTAATTTTTTTTTGCCAAGAATATGGTTTGTATAAAGAGCGCACGCCTTATCGAATGGACAAAGTTTAAGCCAATATTTTAAAATTTACATATTTATTGGGATCAATATTTTATAATATAAGGGTTCAAATAGTAGGGTAGACTATTAATTTATCTTGTCGTAGTCAAATATATATACAGATTTTAAAATTGAATCCAACATGTTATGAAACTTTGAAACGATAAAATTCGTTTAAGGATAGAATAAAGATGTTAGAAACAACACTTCACACTACTTTTGCCCTTAAAGATTGCACATATGCAAATATTTATAAATAAGTTCAATAATTTAATCTCCCATACAAAAAACCCTTTTGATTAGGAACTGGCGGTCACTTCTCAAAAAAATTGCAGCTAAAAAGTGTAAAAAACTACAAAAATGTTGCTGACAATTGGAGTGCAGGAATCGCATAATATGCTCAGAAGCAGAATTTGAAGATAATTGAGTACTTTGGGGGTTGCCAGAGTAACGGCTATCCAGCATATTGGTCAGCTGCTTTATAGGAAAATGTCAACGATTTCGCCTCGTGCCGTGTGCTGAAAGTTGGCACAGCTGCCGAGTACGCCGAGTACGTTTGGCCAGGATAACAATGGCAGGGGATTGGGTCCGGAGTTGGGATAGCAAACGGCGCTAAGACCTCAACTGACTTTCAAGGGACATGCGGCCTATGGCTGCGCCTTAATTGTTGCCTTTTGCCGGGATGCCGTCTTACATAATCAAGAAAGATGCGCGCCTAAGCGACAAAACAAATGGATTTGTTTGAAGCGTGCCTGATGCGAGGCAGCTGCCAGGGGCAGATCAAGAATTTGTTGAAGGGTTGCCACAGCATCCGAGGGGGGATTACCTGCAGTACGTTTCGTTTACTTAAAAGATTTGCGGTCAGAATTTTCCTCGACTGCATCATCCAGGGGATCAAAGAAATCAACATTGGAAATGGGGTTTTACTTAGTTTAGCTTCTGGTTTCGCTTTATTTATTTCTATTTATAGACATTCCAAAACAGATATTTAAGTTATTTAGGGAATCAGCTTTGCATTTTAAGTTTAATTTAATTTAACCTTAAGCATTGATTTTATTTAAACTCATTGCTAGGATTCATTTTCAAATTTCTTAAATTCTGGGCGCCCACTTCCCAATCTTGGCATATTTCAGATTTGAAGAGCAGCAGAAAGAATTTTTCGTAAAAGGAAAGCTACAATTTTAACTAATAGCGTTTTATTCATTATTATTTTATTAACTTTTATAGAATTTAAAAAACGAGCTTCAACCTCATCAGATGAACTTTTATCCGATTTTACCGATTTTGAATAGTAATCAAGATAAAAGAGTTGTAATCAGCAGCATATTGTATATTGTATCTATACTAGCTTGGAACCTGATTTTTAAAAAATGCAATTGAATTTTCACAAAAATCTTTATTTTTCCTAAAACCCAGACACTTTAAAAATACAATATAAATAGTTAACTCTTGCTAGACCCACACAAACGTACATATTTATTTACTTACGTACATACATATTTATTTACGTACATATTTATTTACTAATATTATTTTTCTCGGTAGTACAGTCAAATCTCGTGACTGCGACAACCAAGAACAACTGTTCAGCCCATATCAATTCATAAACATAATAATTCCGACGCAGAGGCTAAAATTAAACTCAGACTGAAATGTGAGAAAAAAACTTTCTCACGATCACCTTTTGGGTAGACGCGTAAAAATCCACGTGCAAAAGGGGGAAGGAACCACC